AAGCCGGAGGCCTCTGGCCCAGACACCCCCGTCCCTGGGGACTGGCTGGCAGTGCCCGCGCCTGCCGCCCCACCCCCAGGTGCTTGTTGCTCAAGTCTTGCGGGTTTGCTCCCCCAGTCACAGTCACATCCCGCACCTCTCACCCACCACACTGGGAGTCCTGAGAAGAGCGCTTGGGGTGGGCGGCTGGGGGTTCAGGGGATTAAACTCAGAGTGGTCTGCCACGGAGTGTGTGCTCAGCCCTTGGTGTGCGCTCTCTCTCTCTCTCTCTCTCTCTCTCTCTCTCGTCCCCGATATAGTCTTTTTTGTTTGTTTGTTTGTTTTGTTTTTTGGGTCACGCCTGGCAATGCACAGGGGTGACTCCTGGCTCTGCGCTCGGTGCTCAGGGGACCATATGGGATGCTGGGATTCGAACCCGGGTCCGCCACATGCAAGGCAAACGCCCTCCCCGCTGTGCTATTGCTCCAGCCCCAACCCAACATAGTCTTTTAACTCACATCATTTGAGTGCCTGGAGGGCATAATGAAGACGTTGGAACAAAGTTGAGACACTGGGAAAAAACGTCTCCTTGGACAGGATGGTAGCTCGGAGTCGGTTTTGTAAGTGTCTTTCCTTCCTTCCTCTGTTGATACACCGATGCATCATCCTGTTGGAGGAAATAGTCGCCTTCAGTTGAGCTAGGTCTAGTCGTGATTCTGTGGCTCTGGATAATTGAGTTGTAGCTCCTTATTATGAACAGACTGAGCAGAATGATGAAAGAAATCAAGTTCTAAAACTTAAGGAGGCAGGTTTCTATTTTTGCAACAGTTAGAGGTCGTCGTGTCTCTCCCATACGTGTTTGAGAAAACCAGTCTTCTGACCTGGTCTTCTGATCTTCAGGGGCTGGGTAGGGGTCTCTAGAAGCGGGCTTGGCTTGTGTTTCTGGGTGGTGCCGTCTGTGCACACCATTGGGGGCTGGTGGTACATGTGTGAGTCTGGGTTGTGTGTGTGTGTGTGTGTGTGTGTGTGTGTGTGGGCGGGGGGTCGGGATGGAAGTCAGAGGCCAGACGCTGCAGGGGTGCCTCAGACAGCGGTCTTACTAGGGCTGGAAAGAGGACAGTGGGTAGGGCGCTTAGCAGCGTACCGCACGCCCACCAGGAGTGATCCCTGAGTGCAGGGCCGGGAGTCAGCCCTGAGAACGACTGGGTAAGGCATCGAGAAAAGAAGAGAAAAAAAGAAAAAAAGGAAAAGTGGGTGTTCTTATGTGGAGGATTATGCCAGTAATGGTGAGCTGGGCGGGTTTGTTTGTTTATTTATTTATTTATTTATTTGCTTTTTGGGTCACACCCAGCGATGCCCAGGGGTTACTTCCTGGCTTTGCACTCAGGAATCACTCCTGGCGGTGCTTGGGGGACCCTATGGGATGCTGGGGATCGAACCCAGGTCGGCCGCGTGCAAGGCAAACGTCCTACCCGCTGTGCTATTGCTCCAGCCCCCTACTTTTTTTTGGGGGGGGTGGGTTTAGAGAAGGAATTTGTGTAGAAGCTTCTGGGGGTTACAGCATTTGAAGGCTATAGTGGTAGTTGGAATGGAAAGAAATATGTACTGGGTAGAAGCCACTAGAGGAGAGCTCTGGGGAGAACTGACAGAATTCCAAGTGGCGTCGGGTGTGTGCTGAGCGGAGGGCCAGGGAGGGGCCCTTGGTGGAGCAGACGGATCAGGGTAGGTCGTAGGTCCGAGGAAGGTGATGGGGCTACGCATGGTGCGTGTGACCAATCGTTGGGACCGTGATTCGATGAGAGGCTTCCCCGCATCAGATAGTCAGGATTTCACTCGAGAGCAATTTCTGTGATACAGAAAGATGCTGAGGAGAAAAGGAGAAACGACAACGTACAGTTTTGGGTTTAAAAATTAGATAGTCCTTCCTGTTTTCATAAGCAGTGTAACTCAAAATTACCTGTACAGTCTTAACAGAACCTCAAAATGCAGCAAGTTTGGAATATCCTCGTAGGTTTCTTCAGTGTTCCCTTTAGATACTTTATAAGCTTTTTTTTAATTTAGATTTTTATTAGTGAAACACCATGAGGTACAGTTGTAGATTTACAAATTTTCGTGCTTGGGTTTCAGTTTTTTTTTTTTGCTTTTTGGGTCACACCCGGCGATGCTCAGGGGTTCCTCCTGGCTCATGCACCCAGGAATTGCTCCTGGCGGTGCTCGCGGGACCATATGGGATGCTGGGAACCGAACCCGGGTCGGCCATGTTGGCTGTGTGCAAGACTAACGCCCTACTCGCTGTGCTATCGCTCCAGCCCCTTGGGTTTCAGTTATACAAGGGTCGAGTACCCATCCCTCCACCAGTGCCCATTCTCTACTTCCAGTGCTCCCAGTGTCCCTCCCCCCGCTCCCGTCCCCCCATCCCATCCCACCCCTGTGGCAGGGCATTCCCCCTTGTTCTCTCTCTCCTTTTGGGTCCTTGTGAGCATTTTAAAATGTCCATGGATTTATGTCAATGCTTATAGCACCAATTATATTCATCCTACTTAGCTAATACATTAAGAAATTCAGGCTTGCACTAGTAAAGCTAGTTAAAAACTGGTGTCATGGGCTGGAGCAGTAGTACAGTGGAAGGGGTTTGATTCGGGCTTCCCGTATTGTCCCGAACCCCACCAGGAGTGATCCCTGAGCACTGCCCCCAAGCAACCCCCACCAAATAAATAAAAAATTTAAAAATAAGAAAATACCCTTCCGCTACGGGGCCGGAGAAGTAGTCCTGCGGGCAGGCACCCGCCGTGCACGCATCTGCCTTGACTGGGGCTCGATTCCCGACCCCCACGTGGTCCTCAAGACCCCCTAGGACTGAGCCCCGACCATGGGGCCAGGAGTCAGCCCTGAGCACCAAACAAACAAAAAGCTGCTGTTACTTCCCCTTTGGAATAAGTTCTCATCATTCGAAAGTCGCTGGCCGGTGAATTTCTTTGATTTTTAATTTTTCTAAAGGAGTTTAGAGTGGGTAAAGGAGTATTTCACCTCTCAGTTCTCTCGTTGGGTTTTTAGAAGGTGTTGGGGAAATGTGACCGCTTTTGTGGAGATGACTTCATTATAGATCTTCTAGTTTGAACTGGAAAATAATGTAATTGGAGGCAGTTGGGAATTCAGTGCTGGACGGTGGTTGATGCCCTTCGCCCCGTTGGCTTGACACGCCGGTGGCATCCTGGGCCACCGGTCGCCAGGCGGAACCTTGGCACTGCTCTGAGAACCACGTGTCTTTGTTCTGGGAGCTCAGAGCTCTGTCTGCTTCCCCCTAAAGAAGGTCCAGGTTATGCAGGTTATTGTTCCAGTGAGTTGAAGTATGATGTCTTGGATAGAATTCAGAAGACTTATATGCAAAATTAGAAGAATTAGGTTTACAAATTAAGCTTCCTATTTGGTATATGAATATATATGTTAGCTTCAGCTATTTGGTACCCTGCAGTATGTAGTCTTAGAGCTAGCTGGTCGCTATTGAAATATTTTTAAGTCCTTTTTCGGGAGGTTTGACATCTGAAAAAGTGTATTTCGCATTGATTTCATTTTATTCGTCCAAAATCACATAGTTCAGCTGTTACGTGTATTCTTCCATTCAATTTGCTGATGTAAATGAAGTACAAATGGCTTTCTCAAATAATCCTTGCAGTGAATTTTAGCTTTCAGTTACTCAAAAACCAATATTTTGCAGTCTCAATTCCCCATAGGATAAAGAATGTTACCAGTTCATAATTAATAACTCTTAAATTGTCAAAACCTGGTTTTAGTATTCCTTAAGTTAACTGCAGTTTTGAAGGGGAAGGCTGTGTAGTTGGGCAGTTACTGTCCATTTCACCAGGCACATAGGATACTGGTTATTTTTTAATGGCGATTTTTTTTTTTTTTTGGTTTTAGACTTGGACCTTTAAACATGTTACGCTGCTACATTAATTCAGTGAAGATCAATTTATTTAATTCCAGTGGCATGAGCAGAGCAAGTAGTTCGTTGTTGCGTAAAGAAGACTGCCCACGGGATGTGAAAATTTCTGTTAGATCCCGGTTGTCCATTTTACTGGTGCTTGTCATGGTTACGGTTCCCTGCCCTTATGTCCAGCTCTCGCCCGGGCCAGGGATTGAACCCAGGTCACATGCACTTTATTGCTGAGGCGCATCCCGCCCCTTAGACACACTTTGAGCTTCTCGGACGTGTACACGGTGTATCACGAGAGTCTGCTGACTACATTCGTAAGTGCGAACAAGCGCTGAGCGGAGATGTGGCTTGGCAGCAGAACACTTACTTGCCTTGCACGTGTGAGACCCTGGGTTCGACCCCTGGCACAGGGAGCAAGATTAATTAACTACCTGGGTTAAGAGAAGGCTGGGGCTGGAGCAGTAGCACAGCGGGCAGGGCGTTTGCCTTGCACGCGGCCGACCCGGGTTCGATTCCCAGCATCCCATAGGGCCCCCTGAGCACCGCCAGGGGTCGTTCCTGAGTGCAGAGCCAGGAGGGACCCCTGTGCATCGCCGGGTGTGACCCAAAAAAGCAAAAAAAGAAAAGAAAAGGTATAGTTGCTGAAGGAGAAAAAAGATTCCGAAGCTAAGTGTAAGCAGTATTGTGTTGTTCTTTTTACTTATTGCAGCCTCGTCTCTCTCCCTTCGGTAGTAACAGGTAATCCGGGGAGGGCTTTCTCAGCACTGCCCACGGCAAGCACTCTCCCGCGGGTCGTTGACACTGTCGCGCGCACACACCCACACAGACACACACTCATTTACACGCACACACCTACGCACTCACACTCACAGTGAAGGGTTTCAGATGAGCCTTTCCCTCCATTCTCATCAGTAAGTGGGTTTTGTTACGGTGTTAAAATTACAAATATAGTAGTTTACTATTAAGTGTGTAGGACTAAAATGTAGAATTGGTTAACGTTAAGAAGCAATGCCTTTTGGATAAAGTGACAGGCCTCAAGTGAAACTCAGTTCTGGTCTCCTTTGCAGGCGTAGCTATTCCCAGTCAGACAGAAGTGCTTTTCACCTTGAGCAGTGTCGCCCGAGGAAGTCAGACTCAGCCAGCATGAAGACTGAATCTTGTCTGGTCTGATTTGTAAACCATGATTTTCTAACTATGTGCAAGGTGGAGGTTAGAGCGTGGAAACTAAAACCTTAGTAAGTGATTTTTATTTTAGCTCTAAAGCAGTAGCCTTTCTTACAGTGGGTTTGTCTTGTCAAGTGTTCACGTTGTAAATGTGAGGACTTGGCACGCAGGGACACATCACAGTTAGAAAGTGGAAGATTTAGCTTTTCTAGGTCCTGGAAAAGCCCCTGAGAAACGGGGAAAAGCTTCTGTTACTCTTTCTAGGATTTCCCCCCTCCCCCTGACCTTTTTTTTTTTAAAGTTTGCTCTCCACCCATTCTGGTCCCTGGCGGTGCCAGTGGGTGCCCAGCTGCCCAGCGTGGCCAGGAGCCATCCCCTCCCCCACTGGTGTATGCCCGCAGAACGTAAAATGTGGCAAGAGATGCTTGAGAAGTGATTGAAGACAATGGAAAGGTTGCCTTGACTGGCCACAGCCGTCTTCATTTAAGACGTCAAGAAAAGAATCATTAAATTTGCAGTATAAGTTGCTTTGTTTGTAAATATTATCAGGTATAAGAAGTTACCTTTCAGAAGGTAAGTTACCTCTCCGGGCCAGGGAGATAACTTAAGGGCTGGGCGCATGTTTTGCATGTAAGAGCCCCAGCTTTGATCCCTGGCACACGGTTTCGTCAGCATCCATGGGTGTAGTCGTAAGTAAAATAGTGTTAATTCTGTTGTAGTGTAAATCTGGACTAGAGCCTGGGCTTAAACAGTGACTACTTTTTGCTTCATTCTTGGGCTACACCCAGTGATGCTCCGGGGTTGCTCCCGGCCCTGTCCTCAGGAATTCCTCCCATATGGGATGCTGGGGATCGAACCCGGGCCAGCCGTGTCCAAGGCAAGCGCCCTACTTATTCCATTGTCTCTCCAGCCCAGTGACTCTTTTTAATATGAATTGAGTTTCGAATGTTTAAAAAGTATTAAACATCTTGAATTTTGATATTCAAAGTTCTGTTGGAGTGGTTATGTGTTATTTGGGGTCATTGCGTCGATCTGACTGTCCCGTGCTTAGGTCATGTGCAGTTTTGATTGTGTGTTTCACACAGAACGAGATTTTGGGGTGTTGGTCAGGCTCTCCCTCTCCTGCGCGCTCCGCGCTCCTCCCGGCTGCTGCCAGACAGGAGAGACGGCGCCTCAGATCCTGCACGTAGAGGCTGTAAGAATCTGTGCTCATGACCTGAACTTGTGAGCATAGATTCTTACGTCTTATGTATTTAAGATCCTTCATTGGCATCCCTGCCCTTCCCTTGGAGGGCTTTTTTTGGGCGGGGGTGGGGGCGTCACAGCCTGTTATTCTCAGGGCTTCTGGCTCTGCACTCAGACTTCACTCCTGGCGGTGCTGGGGGACCGTATGGGATGCCGGGGATCGAACCCGGGTCGCTCACTTGTGAGGCAAGTACCCTACCCCACTGGGCTCTCTCTCTGGCCCATCATTTTGAGTTTTTAAACTATCGTTTTCCTAAGTTGATGGAAATAGCCTGGCCAAAATTAAAGTTTACCAATAGTATTTTCCCTTAACTTCCTCCTCCCACCACAAACCCCTGTATTTTCTGCGTGTATTTTTTTTAACATGACAAAGTACAGCTTGATTGTCTTAAGAGGTCTGAGATTTTTCTTTGGGAATTGGTTTCCGGGCATCTCCCTAGAAATCAGAAAGGGGAAGGAGAGATAGTTCGGTATGAATTCCTAGGTGCCTATTTTGGGAGGTTTATTTTGCAGTCGAAGGGTCCTTTGATGGGGGGGGGGGGACAGCAGGTTTTCAGAGGTGAACTTGCACTTCCTGTGTTAATAACCCTATCCTGATTGTTTATAGCTTCCTGCCTGACATAACTCACTTCAAGAAGTACACAATGTCAGAACGTGGAATTAAGTGGGCTTGTGAATACTGCACGTACGAAAACTGGCCGTCTGCAATCAAGTGCACCATGTGTCGAGCGCAGAGACCGAGCGGGACAATCATCACCGAAGATCCGTTTAAGAGCGGCTCGAGCGACGTCGGCCGAGACTGGGATCCTTCGAGCACCGAAGGAGGGAGTAGCCCGCTGATCTGCCCGGACTCGAGTGCCAGACCCAGGGTGAAGTCTTCCTACAGCGTGGAAAACGCGAACAAGTGGTCCTGCCACATGTGTACGTACTTGAACTGGCCACGCGCGATCCGCTGTACCCAGTGTCTGTCCCAGCGTAGGACCCGGAGTCCTACCGAGTCTCCCCAGTCCTCAGGGTCTGGCCCGAGACCGGTCGCTTTCTCTGTCGACCCTTGCGAGGAATACAACGACAGGAACAAGCTCAACACAAGGACCCAGCATTGGGCCTGCTCCGTGTGCACTTACGAAAACTGGGCCAAAGCGCCACAGTGTGTTGTCTGCGACCACCCCCGGCCCAACAGCATCGAAGCGATAGAACTGGCGGAGACCGACGAGGCCTCTTCGATCATCAACGAGCAGGACCGCGCTCGGTGGAGGGGGGGCTGCAGCGGCGGGAACAGCCAGAGGAGATCCCCGCCTGCTCCGAAGCGGGACTCCGAAATGAAGATGGACTTCCAGCGGATCGAGCTGGCTGGGGCGGTTGGCAGCCAGGAGGAGCTCGAAGTGGATTTCAAAAAGCTAAAGCAAATAAAAAACAGAATGAAAAAGACTGACTGGCTCTTCCTCAATGCTTGTGTGGGTAAGTCTCTGCATTTTTTGGAATGGGGCGGGGAGTGCTACTGGAAGTAACTTGAGCAGGGCATCATTCACGATTCAGTTTTAGTCCTTTCGCCGTGGATCTTGTACAGGAATCTCCGAATTTGTGATCTTGTCATACCTTTGTCTTCAGTTGCCTCTAATGTCACGGCATTTATGTCCCTTTATCGTCAGGGGAAAAAAAAACTTTTTTTTTTTTTTTTTTGGGCGACAGTAATGCTCAGGGGCTCTTCCTGGCTCTGTGCTCGGGAGTCCTCCCTGCCGTTGCTTGGGCCAGCTTTGGTGGTACCAGGGATGCAAACGGGGGTTCGCTGCATGCCACGCAAGTGCCTTGTCTTCTTCGCGATCTCTGGGTGGGGCAGGGGTGGGCTCTCCTCGCTTTTAAGTGAAATGAAAGCCATTCAGTCAGCAGCAGTTAAAATGTATGCCTGGAGATTAAAACTTGCTACTCTCTGCATTGTGTAACCAGATGTGTTCCCCGCTCCGTGTTTGTAGACAGTGGCAGCACCTGGTGATGATGGGAGCCTTAGTCAGACGTTAAAAATACCACGCGAAGGTGTGACTCCAAGAACTTGAGCAAACATCATATTGACCTTGAAAATGCTGCCGTGAACGTCACATGAGTGTCACGTAGTAAATATTTGCAAGCTTTGTGAAACTGATTCCGCCTAGCAGTTGTGTCTGTGGTTCAAGTCAGGATCCGCGCTTTGTGGTTTTCAGGCTTTCCTAAGGAGATTCTGGATATTGGCCCCGGTGAACGAGTCAGAGCTGTTAAGAGGACGGCGGCATATTGGGGGAGCAAAGTTTTCTCCAGTTACTGACCCTGCGAGTTAATAATTAGTGAGCTAATTCACAGACGAGCTATTTGACTACTCAGTCTTTTTCTCTTGAAAATAAGGAGGTTGGATAATGAAACTTTATGGTTTAAGTCGATTGCGTGGGTTGCTTACTTTGTCATTGTTTTGGTCAGGAATTTTCTTTGTTTTTTTTTTTTTGTGTTTTGGGCCACACCCGTGGTGCTCAGGGCACCGTGCGGGGTGATGGGATTGAACTTGGGTTAGCTGCCTACAGGACAGAGGCCTTCCCCTGCTGTGGTGTCGCTCTGGCCCTGCAGGAAATTCTGAGTCCTGAATTTTATTTTTTTTTTTGCTTTTTGGGTCACACCCGGCGATGCTCAGGGGTTACTCCTGGCTCTGCTCTCAGGAATTACCCCTGGCGGTGCTCGGGGGACCCTATGGGATGCTGGGAATCGAACCCGGGTCGGCCACATGCAAGGCGAACGCCCTACCCGCTGTGCTGTCGCTCCAGCCCCACCATGCTCTATCCAGTCCCTCACCCCGGATTATTTTGCAGGGGTGAGTGTGACAATCCCATCGCAGGCCTCAGGCGCTGCTTCCTGCTCAGTGCTCAGGGGCCCCTCCTGGCAATCTGGGTGACCAGGGATGTTGGGGCTCACCCCAGGGCTCCCACGTGCAGAGTGGGCTCTCTCGTTGAGCCATTTTCCAGCCCCACCAGTCAAAAAGCAAGTTGGGGGCTCGTAGCCAGTGGTCCCTGGGCTCCCGTCGGTGCTCGGAACTCCAGTACTTGCTCCGGACTTGCTCTTTTTTTTTTTCCTTTTTGGGTCACACCCAGCGATCCTCAGGGGTCACTCCTGGCTCTTCACGCAGGAATCACTCCTGGCAGTGCTCAGGGGACCCTATGGGATGCTGGGAATTGAACCCGGCTCGGCCGCGTGCAAGGCAAACGCCCTACCCGCTGTGCTATCCCTCCAGCCCCTGAGTCCTGAATTTTAGTGTTTTGTGAACATGTAAGTCTTATGGCTTTGCTGTGTGTGTGTGTGTGTGTGTGTGTGTGTGATTTATATGTGTCTCTCCTTTTTGGGGCCACTCTCGAACCCAGGCTGCTCCTGCAGAGCACATTAAGCGGTGACTCTGGCCCTTGCCTCCTCTGTGGTTGTGGTGCTTTTCGGTTTTGGTGCTCTGGGGTGTTGTGTTGGGTCTCACAGAGCTCAGTGGGGGTTACACACCTTGTGGTGGTGCTTGTGTATGGTCTTTGGAGATGGAGCACTTTGTGTGGAGTCCAGGGACCGCCAGCAGCATTACTTGAACACTTCCGGCCACTTGGCCCTGAGCGATTCCTAGGCTCCCCTGGGACCCATTTTTGTTTCTCTCTCTGATGATACAGAAAATTCATTGTTTATGGAGGGTGTAACTATGGAATTTGCTAAGACTAAATTGGAAGGGATTTTAGTTTAGGTTTTGGGTGTTTTTTGGGGCAGGGAGGTGGGGCTTGGCCAGCACCTGGCAGTGCTCAGGGGTCATTCCTGGTGGTGCTTGGGGTCATCTGCGGTTCTGAGGATGGAACCGGGGTGAACTGGGGTCACCTGTTTGCAATCCGAGCTTCCTCAGACTGGAGCATTGCTACAGATAGGGACAGTGTTTGCCTCGCATGCAACTGACCCGGGTTTCAGTTTTAATCAGTTTTATTTCAATTTATTTTTTGCTTTTTGGGTCACACCCAGCGATGCACAGGGGTTACTCCTGGTTCATGCACCCAGGAATTTACTCCTGGTCGTGCTCGGGGGGACCAAATGGGATGCCGGGAATCGAACGTGGGTCGGGCCGCGTGCAAGGCAAACGCCCTCCCTGCTGTGCTATCGCTCCGACCCCATCAGTTTTAATTAGTTTTCGATGACACCTTATAGCTCGTTTTTATGGCAGGCGTTAAAAAAAATCTCTAGTGCTCAGTTCAGCAACACACATGCTAAACTAGTAATTTCTTGGGATTGGGGAGATAGTACAGGGTGAGGCTCTCGCCTTGCCTGTGGCTGACCCTGGTTCAATCCTTGGCACCACATGCGGTGCCAGCACCCCGCTGTCCCCGGGAATGATCCTTGAGCAGTACCCAGAATAAGTCCTGAACACAGCCAGCTGGAGCCGACAACCCCCACCCCGCAGAATCAAAAGAGAATCTCTCAGGTGTGTTTCTTAAATATCAGTATGTAACTGAGGGTACTGTTAGTACTCGGCATAAAATGTGAGACTTAACTTGAAATTGGAGGAAAAAAATACCACCCTCAGGCCAGCTTGGTCGGTGATGGGGTAGGAATGAGGATGTTGTTGAGGGCGGCATTGACTCAAGCAAGTGCCTTGGCCAGCTCCCTTTGCAGGACCGCGCGGAAGTCTCGCCCGCCCTCATGGGACGGCAGGCAGCGTTGGAAGTCGACAGCAGCAGCTGTGGAATCTGGGGGTGGCGATCTCAGGTGTGTCCTGGTGCCTGCGGCTTGGTGCCAGGTTTCTGTTTCCTGGGACGTCTCGGTGCCGATCTAAGACCTGCCCTGACCACGAATCCCGAGCCCCCTGGGGAGCAGGGCAGTTCTGCCGCCTACCCGTTTCTGTTCGCTCTTGCGTGGACTTAGCTGCCCCGGGCAGGGTCCTGCATTACGTACGTGACTCCTCCTAGTTCTTAGAGGGTAGACTGGGAGTCGCACCCCTGCTGCGTTCCGGTGCTTCAGCCTGTACTCGAGCTCGGCAGGGCTCCCACGCCTGGTCCCCGTGCTCCACCGTGTGCCAGGGCCGCACTTGGTTGTGCTCCCACGTTCCCGCTCGGCCCCCGTGTTCACACGTGCGCGCTCCGGTGCTTGCATTCGCTTTTTGCTTTTGGGTGAGGGGTCAGGGCGCGTCCAGCGATGCTCAGAGGTTACTCCTGACTCTGTGCTTAGGAATCACTCCCTGCAGTGCTCAGGGGACCGGCTGGGCGCCCTCATGGCTAACGGCCTCCCCTGGCACTTGCTCAGTTTTAATGAGCCTGCCCAGTGGTCCTGTGGTCGGTCGGCTGGTGGTGCTCTGGGACCACGTGATGCCAGGGATGGAACCCGGTGCCTGTCCTTTCCTGGGAGCCGCACCTTGCGCTGTGGCGCTCGCCCCTCCGGCGGTGTGGCTGGGCGTCAGAGAGCAGAGGGAACTGGGCTCCCGCTCGCTCCCAGGTCAGCCGGTTGCCACTGAGCGTCTCCTGGCCCCTGCGAGAACACTGTTCGCCTGGTGGCCCCGCCTGGTCCTTTGAGAAGAAAAATACAAGGTGGACGAGGACCCCGACTTAAGATTGGCCTGATCAGGGGCTGTGTTCCCCAGTGCCGTGCCGAGAGTAGGGGGTCCAGACTCGGAACAGGAGTCGTCTCTTCACCGGCTCCATTCACTGTGTTCAAAACACAGGTTCGTGATTCCTTTTTCCGTCTTGACCCCGTTCCTCCTTGTGAGAAGAGCTTCCACCTTCAGACTAGACCCACGGTCTGCACTGTCCTGCCCCGTGGTCCCCGCTAGGTTCCCTGCCCGGCATCGCCCGCAGCGGTCACTAGCTCAGCCTCCCAGCCCTGGGCTGCCCTGCGCCCCGCACCCTGCCCGCAGACCCTGACTGTGTCCCACCCGCAGGCCCCTTTCTTTCCTGGGGGCGGGGTGGGGGGCGGCTGCTCTTTCGCGTCCTTCCTTGGTGCTCCCCGATGGCTTCTGAGCGAGACCTTTCGGCCTGGCCCGCAGCCTGTGCCCCAGTTTGGATCTCCTCCCGAGCACCTGTCGCCTGATGCCTGCATGCCGCTGCTACATTTGCTTCCCTCTTCCCTGAGGTTTCTGGGCTTCGTCTTTTGTTCCCAGCGATCTCCGTCCTGCGCTGCTTGGCTCACAGCAGACCGCTGTCGAATGTGGATGTCTGTGTTTGGGCTGTGTTCGGACTGCGGGGTCACTCCTGGCTGTGCCCGGGGGGCCGTACGGGGTGCCAGGAATTAAACCCCGGAGGGCCGCCTGTACAGCGATGCGTTCCCTGCCCTGCTGTCTCTCTAGCGCCCTGCCTTAGGCTGTGGGGGGGGGGGCTGCAGCCCGAGGAGGCCGGCCCGGGTGTGATCCCTGGCACCCCATGTGGTCCACCAGGAGTGGTCCCTGAGCACAGAGCCAGGAGTCATTACCCCTGAGCACTACTGGGTGTGGTCCAACT